TCAACCTTGAGCCGGTCAGGATCGAACTGCTGGCAGTGAGTTATCCTGCAGTACTGCATTCTAACCACTGCGCCACCACAGCTCTTTCAATTAACCAATTTCCACCAAAAGGCAGTACATAGAAGTGACATTAGAAAAGGGGAATTTGGCCCCTTAAACCATACCAGCCTCTGGTTGGTAACTTTAAACTGGGTTCTGATGGCTGTTCTTTTCCACACAGGGTGCCTCTGAAAAAGACATTGTGCATTCGGGCTTGGCTTACACCATGGAGCGATCCGCACGGGTACGTATGGTGCAGCTATGAAACATTAAATGCTACTATGGATGGTCATCTGAGAGGTCGGAGTCATTGGTCTATTCCTGATTGTCAGCTCTTTCTGCCTTATTTTGCTTGCCTTATGGCGGAAAGATTAGCAGTGAAAAGCAGAGGGAAGCCATGGTTATTAATGTTGCCATTAGCAGTCAGGCTTTCTGCATTTAGAGATATGAGAAGGTAGGATTTCTAGGAACACGACTGGGGAAAGGACTTGAGGCAACAGGATATGAAGTTTATGGAAAGGACAGAGCTTTATATAAGCATATATATACCGTACTTTTCGGAGTATAAAACACACTTTTTTCCCCCTTAAAAGAGGGTGGAAGTGTTGGTGTGTCTTATACACCAAATACAGCCATTTTTGGCCTCCTGAAACCCCGTCCCATGCGTCCCATTTTCGCAAAAAACAGGCCTGTTTTTCACAAAAACGGGATGTGCAGAGGGTTAGGGAGGCCTGCAGAGTGCTCCTTGGGGGCTGGGGAGGGCAAAAACGTGATGCGTGGGGAGTTTGGGAGGCCAAAAAGGGACTCGTTTTTCACGAAAACTGCGTTTTTGCCCTCCCCAGCCCCCTCCCAAACCCTCTGTGCATCCTGTTTTTGTGAAAAAAGAGGCTTGCAGAGGATTTGGGAGGCCTGCAGAGTGCTCCTGGGGCCTGGGGAGGGCAAACACCTTTTCTTTCTTGTTTACCTCTTTGAAATCTTGGTGCGTCTTATACTCTGGTGTGTCTTATAGTCGGAAAAATACGGTAATTGCATTGTTCAACGTGTTAGCTTAGCCAGAGGACGTGGCAGTTTCCCTTGGTTGCTGTCTTGTGACAAGCAGGATAACAGAGTTGGAAGGGACCTTAGAAGTCTTCTAGTCCAGCAGGAAGACCCTATACACTGGTATTCCTCGAGTTAACGACCACAATTGAGCCCAACATTTCTCTTACTAAGCAAGACATTTGTCAAGTGAGTTTTGCCCCATTTTATGACTTTTCCTGCCATAGTTGTTAAGTGGATCACTTCAGCTCTTAAGTTAGCAACACGGTTGTTAAGTGAATCTGGCTCCCCCATTGATTTTGTTTGTCAGAAGGTCGCAAAAGGGGATCACACGACCCCGAGACTGCAACTGTCGTAAATATGAGTCAGTTGCTAAACATCTGAATTTTGATCACATGGCCATGGGGATGCTGCAACAGGCGTAAATGTGAAAAACTGCCATAAGTCACTTCTTTCAGCTTTGCCGTTGTAGCTTTGAACAGTCACTAAATGAACTGTCGTAAGTGGAGAATTACCTGTACCATTTCAGATCTCTTCTTAAAAATCTCCAGTTGGCCATTGGAAATTATCCTGAACTGCGTCCTTATTTTCATGCAGTTTCACAACTAGCTGAGTTTTGAATTCCTCCATAAAAAAAAAAATAGAGCCTTGGTAGTACAGTGGTTTAAAGCACCCTGTTATTAACACAGCTGCCTGCAATTACTGCAGGTTTGAATCTTACCAGGCTCAAGGTTGACTCAGCCTTCCATCCTTTCTAAGGTGGGTAAATTGAGGACCCAGTTTGTGGGGGCAATAAGCTGACTTTGTATAAAATATACAAAAGGATGAAGGCTATTACTTAACGCATTGTAAGCCGCCCTGAGTCTCCGGAGAAGGGCGGCATATAAATCAAATTAAAACAAAACAAAAAAAAGAATAGAATGGAATGGATAGATCAAGGGTCAGCAACCTTAAACACTCAAAAAGCCATTTGGACCCGTTTCCCACAGAAAAGAAAACACCGGGAACCACAAAACCCTTTTGACAGCTAAAATGAAGATAATGCTGCATATATCGTTTTTTTACCTTTATGCTGTGTATAAAGAAACTATAATGTGTTGCATTTATGAAATCAATGAACTGCTACAGAGTTTTATTTCTGCATGCAACAAAAACATTTTGAACTCCCCCGCCCCCCCCCCCAAAAAAAGATGGGTTGAAAAGCTCAAGAAATCACGAACCAGCAGATGTCAGACATTGGCGGTTGTGACACATATTTTGAGCGACAGGGAGCTGCAGCAGAGGGGTGAAAGCCACATGCGGCTCCAGAGCCCCAGGTTGCTGACCCCTGGCATAGATCTTTGAACAAAAGCATAATGGGTAACCCTCTAGAGCAGTGTTTCTCAACCTTGGTAGCTTGAAGATGGGTGGACTTCAACTCCCAGAATCCCCCAGCCAGCAGTGCTGGCTGGGGGATTCTGGGAGTTGAAGTCCACCCATCTTCAAGCTACCAAGGTTGAGAAACATTGCTCTAGATATTCCTCAGCTTCTACTCTCTCTGAACCAGGTTTTTAGCTAAAGCTAATAGCAGTTGGACTCCAGCAGTAATCTTCCCAGTAATCTTCCTACGTGTATTATATATATATATATATATTTAAAGCATAGCAAACGTCTCTGGGAGTCCTAACTCTACCGTTTTTAATGTCCCGTAGCAAATCATGCGTACCGCCATGAAGTACAACCTCGGACTGGACCTGAGAACAGCCGCCTACGTCAACGCGATTGAGAAAGTCTTCAAGGTGTACAACGAAGCCGGTCTGACCTTCACATAAACGGCTCCTCCGTCTTAGCCTGACACACCCGTGTTCTGAGTCCCGTTGGAAAAAAAAAAAAAGCTTACGAGAAGTTTACACAGAAAACCCCCTTTCTCACTTAGCCGTAGCGGATATGATTCTCAGTTAACTTCCGTTCAAGCTAGTCCTTTTTATATATATATAATATGGGGGTGGGCGGGAATCCATGAATTTAGAGTTGAGACAGACGACTACAGATAACCAGCTCATCTGCACCGCCTAGAGGTTTTTTTTTTAGGTTTCATCTTGAGAAGTTTAAACCTGTTCCCTTTTATTCTTCTACGGAAGCGCGACCTTGCCACAATAAGCAAACTTAGCATCGCTTCTGGCAATGTATAATGCTGAAGGAAATATTAACTGTTCAAGCACTTTGGCTTCAGGCAATGCTACACTTGTAGTTTAGGCACTTTTGAGTAAAAGCTCTTGGATCGGTTCTGAAGGCTGAATGGGTGACCTTCAGGGAATAATCTAGATTTTTTTCCCCCCATTTTTACAGTTAACAGGAGAGCCAGAAGCCTCGTTTCCCTTGTTTCATGTACAGGCCTGTACATGTTTCAGTTACAGGCCTGTCTCTAAATCATGTACTTAGCCTCCCCTCGATTTAAGCACTGTCTGGTTGTGCGTAAAGAGAGGAGTTCCAGGAATGGATTATTTTTATAAGCTGAACAAGCATCGTTGATGTCCACAAAAACCATAGGAGAATGGCTTCTTGTCACTACATATCCACTTAGCTTCTGTATTTTTTTTTAAAAAAAAGGATAACGTACTTGAGGATAACCTTGGGACGTCTGAAGAATTTTTGTAAGTTTTTATTCTTCTTGTACGTTAGTTTTTGAAGTGCTTTTAGCATTAGCCCGTTGAACAATTAAAACGTAGAAATTATTGATATCCCAAGAAGATTGGCAGGCGCACTGACATAATTTTTGCTCCGTTCATCTGGAAATGCTGAACCTGGAAAAATTGGTTAGAGGGGGGGTGTCTCGAATCAGGATTGGATTGTTCCCATAGCTGCCTTGAGGGTCTTGACATGGTCTTATGTCCAGGTGAATTCTATAAAGTGCCGGATGTATTTATCTAATCCAGAGGTCTTCAAACTTGGCAGCTTTAAGACTTGTGGACTCTGCTGGCTGGAGAATTCTAAGAGTTGAAGTCCACAAGTCTTAAAGCTGCCAAGTTTGAAGACCCCTGATCTAATCAGTCAGGATGTTTTTAAAATACACCCCAAGCCCGTCCCGAAAATTCATGCTTTTTTTTTTTTCTAGCTCCTTTATAACTCATGACATAACATGGCAACAAAAGCAATTATTAAAAGTTGACATTTTGAAACATACTCTGGTCTGTGTGTTTTCTACTCCGTGTCAGTGGAGACAGGCTGGGATCTGACTGAAAATTCCCACAGTCATTCCCAGAAATTACATACATATAAGCATATTTAAAATGAAAAATACCCTAGTCGGCTGCCTGCACCATGGCGGGGGGGGGCATTTTTCATCCTCCCCAGGCTCCGGAGGCTTTTTTCGAGCCTCCGGGAGGAAGAAAACTGCTTTCCCCAGGGTCCTTCGGAGGCCGGAAACGGGCCCGTTTCTGGAACTTCCGGGAGGCCCGTTTTTCACCCTCCCCAGGCTCCAGTGGCTTTCTTCGAGCCTCTGGGAGGGTGAAAACAGCTTCCCCCCAGGGCCCGGAGGCCCTCCGGAGGCTGGAAACAGGCCCATTTCTGGACTTCCGGAACTTCCGGTAGGCCCATTTTTTGCCCTCCCAGACCTTCCGCGCAGCCCCTGCACTTACCTGGAATGATGAATGGGCTGTGTGGAGACTCCTAGGAGGGGCAGGACAGGGTGCGTGTGGCCAGTCAGGTGGCATTTGGGGGTTCGCCGAATCCTGGCAATCCTTGCCTAGAGGATTGCCCAAAACCCCAAGAGCCCACATCTTCTCTGTGACAGCCCCCTCAAATAACTGGAAGAGAGCTATCATGTCACCCCATATCCTTCGATAGGCAAAGCATAATTGACTTGGCAATTATGTACGATTTAGTATTTTCACTCGGCAGGATATAATCACAGAAAGCAATGATCAGAAACAAGCCGTCACCAATTCACTTTGAAACAATTTTTTTTAATGTTTTGATACAACAACAAAGTTTGCGCAATATATAATTTAACCTTCAATGAAGGTGTAAAGTACATCTAATAGGGTAGCCATGGGAAGATAATTTCCAATGCATAAAAAGATAAGTTGGATCGTTTCAAATGCACCAGGCAAACCAAAAGAAAGACCTGCCCATTTAGGTTGAAACGTTCTTCTTTTCTTCCTTCTTCTCTCCGCTCTCGCCGAAGCTTTTACCCCACGCCGTTATCTGACCTGTGACATTTTGCACGGCTTTTTCGCCAGTATCTTGCGCCGTTTTGCAGGTGTCGTCAATAACTTTTTTAAAAAAGGGAAATCACGAGATGGTTAAGGGTCTCTAATATATACAACTTCGCCTCCCTGGGGATATAGCAAAACTGACATTTCCTGAAGTCTGCAATAGATTATCTCTGAGGTTTCTTCAGAGTGTAGATGCCCAGAGCCTTTTCTTCTATATTATAATCCAGGGGTGTCAAACTCAAGGCCCACAGACCAGATCCGCCCTCGGGGTTCTTAGATCTGGCCCACGGGGCCTCCCTGGAAACACTGAAGGACCAGCCTGCAGTGCCTCTGCCAGCAAAAATAGAGCTCGGGAGGGTCGCGTGGGGCCCTCCCGAGCTCTGCTTTTGCTGGCAGAGGATTGCAGGAGGCCGTCGCAGCCGAAAACGGAGCTCGGGAGCCTGTTTTTGCTGGCAGAGTGCTCTGGCCACCACAGGCGCCCCTGACAAGTGACGTCGAGCTGGCCACGCCCCCTGAAGTCAATCACAACCCTGATGTGTCCCTCAATGAAATTGAGTTTGACACCGCGGTTATAATCTGACCCCAAACCACGTAATCTTGGGATGCTGCTGATAATTCTTAAGGTTCCAAGATCAACGTGATCCAGTTCACTTAACAAATTATACTTATCAAGAGATACTATCCCATTCAACCAGGGGTGAAATCCAACAGGTTCTGACAGGTTCTGGAGAACCGGTAGCGGAAATTTTGAGTAGTTCGGAGAACCGGCAAATACCACCTCTGGCTGGCCCCAGAGTGGGGTGGGAATGGAGTTTTTGCAATATCCTTCCCCCAGGAGTGGGGTGGGAATGGAGATTTTGCAGAATCCTTCCCCTGCCATGCCCACCAAGCCACGCCCACAGAACCAGTAGTAAAAAAAAATTGGATTTCACCACTGCATTCAACCCTTAACAGAAAACTTGCTAACGACAGAATTTGGCCTTTCCCCGATCTGATCTGAACATCTGATTTGTTCAAAATGAGTTTTTTTTAATAAAAGTCCTAAATAATTAAACATTGACCAGACCAAACCAATTTGTCAATGGTTCAATTTCTCTATCTTTTGAAAATTTCTGTCATCGTTGGATTTTATTTTCTATGACTTCTCAATGATTTCATCCCTGAACCCTACTTCATCCTGTTCATAATGAAATAGGCATGCAATGTAGCCTGACTAGGTGGCTCAGTGGCTAAGAAACTGAGCTCGTCGATCAGAAAGGTCGGCAGTTCGGCGGTTTGAATCCCTAGGACAGGTCTGCGTGAGCAGGGGGGTGGACTAGATGACCTCCAAGGTCCCTTCCAACTCTGTTATTGTTAAGGTAATCTCCCATTGCCTCTGAGTATTGATAGTTTCTAGGACAATTTACAAACTTGAGGCTCCTTCTGGCTTTCCAGAAAGAAATAAAAATTAAGATCGCCATTAATCAAATTCGCTCCTGGTAACCCTGCCACTATAACTTAAGTTGGCACTGATCCAGAAGTGATTTGCTACTTCTTCATCGGTAAAATTCTTCTGGCTTCTCAATCTCACCCATCATCCTGAGATGGGTCCCCCATCCAAGTCTTAACCAAACCTGAACCTGCTTAGCTCTTTGAGATCAACCAAGATCAATCGGTGGCAGGAGGAGCCTAGTATAAAAACCTGCCTAAGAAAGTGCATTTGATTTTTTTTAAAAAAACAACATTGAATCTCTCCTTCAAGAACAGAATTTCTTGATTTGAAGTTTTCTGTTCTTTGGTATAGGTCAATGATGGCGAACCTATGGCACATGTGCTGGAAGTGGCACGCGGAACCATATCTCCAGGCATGTTAGCTGTTGCCTGTTGCTCTTCTGGGTTCCAGTACGCAGCTGGCATGGGAGTGCCAGAAACTGGAAGAGCAGCCCCTTGAGCTGAGCTTCCAGTTTTGTGCCGGCCAGCTGGTCTTCACGCCAGAAACCAGAAGACCAGGTGACCAGCGTGCATGCGCTCCGGGGAGCTGCTCTTCCGGTTTCCGGCACTCCCACACATGTGCGCCAGGGAACTGCTCTTCCAGTTTCCCCCACGTGCGCACGCATGCTCCTGCTTTGGCACTCAGTGCCGAAAAGGTTCACCAACATTGGTATAGGCTAACTGAAGACAAGTTTATTACAAGCAAGATCAAACCTGACTTCTCTAGTTAGAAGTCTGTACAGAAGGCAAACTGCTCCAAATTGGGGGAAAATGTACCATTTTCTTTTATTGTAAGAGTGAAGGTGCTGCTCCTAACTTAATATAAACTGTCTTGTCTTACCTTTCTGACCAGTTTCTGTCGCTTGATCCAGAACGTGCTGCACAGCCTGCCCTGCTGAATTAACTGCAATCATAAACAGTAACATAAATTACTGTCACAGTCATAAATTACATACACCAGTTGCCAAAAACAGTTCATTTTGCATTTTAAAATAACAATAGCCAAACTAGCATGTATAGTAAGAACAATACTATTTCGAAAGGCCTATTTAGTATAAAAATGCTCAATAGTAGGAATAAATTATTAGGTTACTAATATCGACATTCCAATTTTTCTCAAAAAGAGTTACGTTTTGTGCATACGTTTTTTGATCTGTCTGGTTTTGACAGAGAAAATTGGAAATGCTAAGTTCTATTTTATAACTGGGTGAAACTTTCAAGGAACTTTGCAGAAGAATCTTTAAAGTGGCACTAAATATCCACACTTCAAAAATCCAACTCTCTAAGCCAGGGATGTCAAACTCGATTTCCGCATCAGGGTTGTGTTTGACCTCAGAGGGCCGGGGTGGGCGTGGCCGGGGTGGGCATGGCCAGCTTGACATCACTCGTGTCGGGGGCGCCTGTGGTGGCCCGAGCGCTCTGCCAGCGAAAGCAGGCTCCCAAGCTCCGTTTTCAGCTGCCACAGCCTCCTGCAACCCTCTCCCAGTGAAAACGGAGCTTGGGAGGGCCACATGTGGATGAGTCATGGAAGGATGAGTCAACCTTGAGCAAGTCAGGATCGAACTCCTGGCAGTGGGCAGAATTAGCCTGCAATACCGCATTCTAACCACAGCCCCACCACTGCTTTTCTGGCATAAAAATGTCATTATTATTATTATTTTTTAAAAAAATGGATCAGGAAAATAAATATAGCATAGGACAACTGAGAAGTTGCAGATTTGCCCCCATGCATAGTTTAGCAGAAATTCTCCAAATTAAAGAATTAGGTGAACAGATGCTAGAGGCTCAGAATGAACTCTTAAACAGAAGAAGAAAAAAAACCTATGAGAAAGCTGTGTTTTAAGAAAATATAACTGGTAGACTCCTTGTGCCAAAATCTATGTTTATGAGGGCTAATCTTGTCTTCAGTCATCACTGAACTCTGGGAAAATTGCATTAGTCAGTGAAAGTCAAAAACAAGGAATCCGAGACCAGCTTGGGCCTTATAATAAGATTTATTAGTTTTAAAAGGTACTACTTAATTCTTAATTCTGATTTTTGTCTCCCAGCTGTAAAATTTGCCGCTTAGGGAATTCTGTAAGTCACCTTGATTTCTGGTCAGTTGGTAAATGTATATAAATGTATATAATGATTACTCTTCGGCGAAGTTTAAAATAACAGCTTGTGACTTGAGAGGACTTGAGTGGAAAGCTACAGAACGTCTTTCAATTTTCTGAACCACACCTTTTTTTAAAAAAAAGACAGTCAAGGGCAAGATAATGCCTTCGGGGTGACACAGTTCTGGGAGAATGACGATCAAAACCAAACATTCTCAGTTTCTAATCAACAAGAAATTCTTTGTTAAAACACTTCTTGGGTTTCTATTCCATCCACATGTCTGTGATCAGATCTTAATTTATGAAATCTACATGGCGGCATGGCGGCCTCAGCATCTGAAATGGGTACTCATATTATGTAACAACTCACCCCACCCCAACCCCACACCAAAAAAAAAAAACTCGAGGGGAAAAGGCAGAGATTTTTTTTCTTTTTACTTCTCCTCCCATTAAATTCTCACATAAAGGACCAGGCCTATAAAATGATTCCCTGCAAAGCCCTTATTTTTTTCTACTTTTTTTCACTTCTCTACATCCTAAAATGCCACAAGGAGGAAGAATCTGAGGACATCAATGGTGAAGAAACAAAAGATCCCAAGGGAGGGAGGGAGGGAGGAAGGAAGAGAGGGAGGGAGGTTCCATGTTTTGAATCTAGCGGTATGAAAAAATCAGCAGGGAAAAATATATAAGCTACCGCTTCACCGACAGTAGTGGCCAAAATTGTGGAAATCTTTTGGGAAAAGTGTATTTTTGAGGTTTGATGGCTAATAACACCACTTTTTTTTTTTTTGAGTTTCAAGATAATCCTATTCCACTGCTTGGAACCTTAACCCAATTAGAGCCTTGGTAGAACAGTGGTCTAAAGCACCCTGTTATTAAGACCAGCTGCCTGCAATTATTGCAGGTTCGAATCTCGCCAGGCTCAGGGTTGACTCAGCCTTCCATCCTTTCTAAGGTAGGTAAATTGAGGACCCAGTTGTGGGGGCAATAAGCTGACTTTGTATAAAAAAATATACAAAAGGATGAAGGCTATTGCTTAGCGCTTTGTAAGCCGCCCTGAGTCTCCGGAGAAGGGCAGCATATAAATCAAATTTTTTAAAAAAATGAAAATCGATGGAACCGACTAAAGAAACTTGTTAGTCAGAAGCCACTCAGCAATAAAACCCAGTTATTAGAAGCAATCTTTCAATCTTGGTTTCACATGATAACAGCTGCATAACTAAAAGACTTGGTTCACTCCATGGGAAAACGTTGTAAGGCCATAATTCATGCTGAAGGTTACCCAACTCAGTATTAACTGATATGGGGATCATTTTTGTATATCTCGTTTTTTCAATGGTGATCATTTTTGTATATCTCGTTTCACTTTTTTTCTTTATAACTGCTATTCAAATAGCAAATCCTTCATAACATTTATTGCATTACACTCTTGATTAAATTATCTTTCCACTGATATATAATTTTATGGTACTACTCAAAAAGAAAAAAAAAAGTGGTGTTATTAGCTAGTTTTAGAAAATACACTTTTCCCAAAAGGTTTCTGCAATTTTGGCCACTACTGGCCAAATTAAACTGTTTGGCAAGCATGTCGCATTAGGGTAACAGATTAGCAGAGTTGGAAGGGATCTTGCAGGTCATCAAGTCCAACCCCCTACCCAAGCAGGAGACCCTACATCTGCCTCCTACCTAGGGTCAAACTCACAACCTCCTGATTGTGAGGCAGGAGCTCCACCTCTAGGCCATTGGGTCTTGGTTATCTGGTGTTATCTGAGTCTCCCCAAAGATGCAGACAAGGCAAGATTTCCCAGGTCTAATTCATATTCCTTATATTGGATATATCAGGAAGTGTTCTCCTACTGAGCCCTTTCTCCAAGCAAACCTATTTTTTGCACCCTGGAAATAAACATTTTTCTATCCTTTAACACTAACTTGCACACTCCAACTTAGGGATAGACACTGTGTGTGGGGGGGGAAGTCTCCCTTGACCGCAAGTCCTTATGACTTGACACATTGGTTTATTTTTCTTGGCCGTGCTACACAAGGTTGGCCACTGTCTTTTTCTGGGAGGTCTTTGTAGCTTCCCAATCTGGCTTGCAACTCTCAACTCCTTGGGGACCTCCCGTCCTGTACTACCCAGGTTGACCCATTCTCCAGATCAGCCAAAGCCTGGTGTCCAAAGATGTGGACACCAACACCAAGAAGCAATGGGTGGAAACTAATCAAGGAGAGAAGCAACTTAGAACTAAGGAGAAATTTCCTGACAGTCAGAACAATTAATCAGTGGAACAATTTCCCTCCAGGAGTTGTGAATGCTCCAACACTGGAAGTTTTTTAAGAAGAGGTTGGATAACCATTTGTCTGAAGTGGTGTAGGGTTTCCTGCCTAAGCAGGGGGTTGGACTGGAAGACCTCGAAGGTCCCTTCCAACTCTGTTATTCTACCAAGTTGAGGATAAAAACCAATTCTCCATCCAGAAGGATTAGATATGAACTAGGGCATTGAAAAGATTCCAGAACGACAAAAGGAGAAGCAGAGTCTATTTACCTGCATCCTGTGCAGTGTTGCCTATCTTGGATGTTTCCTCTGATAAATTGAATTTAAACATGTTTTCTGTCCGTTGGGTGATGTCTTGCTGTCTGCTCAGCAGTAGATTCTCAGTTCCCAAATGGAGCCCGGGGCCGGTTGGGGTTTATATAACAGAGAACCCCTCCCAGAGGGCACGCGGAGTAGCTCTCGCCAAGCTCTTGTTTGGTAACTAGTTTCCAGTTTCAAAAGCAAAGCAGGGATGTTTGAAATTACAGTGTTCCCTTTTGGAGGAAGAGGGTGTGGTTAGGCTTAAAAGCATGAGAGAGAGAGAGAGAGAGAGAGAGAGAGAGAGAGAGAGAGAGAGAGAGAGAGAGAGAGAGAAATGTAGTTTTCCATAGCCACAAAAGGAAAATGATTCTTATCTAGAGTGTTGGCAAGTTCCTGGCTTTTCAAAAATATTTCCAGTGTGACGTTTACGACTTGGAGACTCTACAGCCACAATAAAAATAAAAATATTTTTCTTTCCAACGAACGGAAGGTGTGGAGAGAGGCTCACAACTGCCAAGGATTGGGATCTGCTCATCTGGGCAAAGATTCAACTTTAAATCAAATTTGCAGTCTCGTGATCCCATGAAATGCAGCCCGGCGGATAATATCATTTGCTCTTTTGCTAACAGGGTTGGAAAAGGGAGTAAAATGGAAGGACCACAGGTCAAACCCTTGATAAAAGTTCTGATAGACCTTCTTTGAATCTGGTAGGATGCAAATTATACAGTTTAAACCTTGTGTTTAAGCTGTATATGGATATGGTTAGAAGCAACCTGGGATTGGAGGAGAAACTTCCTAACAGTGAGGACAATTAAACAGTGGAATGGCTTGCCTTCAGAAGTTCTGGGTGCTTCATCACTGGAGGCTTTTAAGAAGGGACTGGATGGCCACTTGTCTGAAATGGTATAGGGCAGGGGTCAGCAACTGCGGTTCTGGAGCCGCATGTGGCTCTTTCACCCCTCTGCTGCAGCTCCCTATCACTCAAAATATGTGTCAGAACCAGTGGTGGGTTCCTCCCGGTTCGGCCCGGTTCGGCCGAGCCGGTAGCAGTGACAATATGATGTCACTGAACCGGTTCTCCCCGCCCCCCGACCTCCCACCCCTCCACCCCACGTTATTCTTACCTTTTATTTGGTCTCACCCCCAATCTATTGCTGCCTCCTGAGTCCCAGCTGATGACTAGAGGGAAAAAAACTGTTTAAACTCTTGCCGCGGGGCTTCAAAGGGCCGTCCTACAGTTGATCAGTGTTAAAAGCAAACAAATGAGTTGGGTCGTAAGTGCGAGGACGGTCGTAAGTGCGAGGACCTTCCAGAAATGACTCTGACCAGCTAGCCACGCCCACCTAGTCACATGACCTCCAAGCCACACCCACAAAATAAGCCACACCCACAGAACCGGTAGTAAAAATATTTAGAACCCACCCCTGGTCACAACCACCAAAGTGCGACACCTTCCAGCACATGATTTATTGAGCTTTTCAACCCCCAGTAGGCCAACCATGGAGAAATCCAAGAAAAGAAAAGTTTCAGAAGAAAACAGAACATTTAACTCAACTACATATGCTAGTTTTGTGGCTGCTCAAGAAATAGTCAGGCACAGGAAGGGTTTTGTGGCTCCCGGTGTTTTCTTTTCTGTGGGAAATGGCTCCAAATGGCTCTTTGAGTGTTTAAGGTTGCAGACTCCTGGTAGAGGGTCCAAAGTCCCTTCCAGCTCTATTCTGATTCTGGTTCTGGTTATCAACTTTCTCTTTGGCAAGAAGGATCTTGTTGGTACAACATGGGGTTTTGAAGCAGAAGGTCTCACATAGGCTCCCAGAAGCCCCAGTTTTGCTACTGCAGATCTGGAAACCTGATCAGCCTTTAAATCTCTTGCAGACCCTGTCCTTTTTTCTGATGTTGCTGATGGGAAGATGCAAGGATTGGAAGGGGTGAGCAAATACAGAAGGAAGGATCTTGTTCAGGAAAGACTGTAACTCTTAGATGTTATTTCTGAGTTTTAACTATCAGGCGGTAACCCGGAATGGTTTCCATGCAGTTGTTTTCTGGGTCTTCTTGATGGGATCTATGAGCTGTGATGGTGCAGTGGTTAGAGTGCAGTACTGCAGGCTACTTCTGCTGATCACCGGCTGCCAGCAGTTTGGCAGTTCGAATCTCACCAGGCTCAAGGTTGACTCAGCCTTCCATCTTTCCGAGGTCATTTTACCCCAGATTGTTGGGGGCAAGATGCTGACTGTGTAAACCGCTTAGAGAGGGCTGTAAAGCACTGTGAAGCGGTATATAAGTCTAAATGCTATGGCTTTTGCTATCTTGGTTTGACGGGTCCAATCTTGCACGAGAAGCTTTGATTGAAAACATAAAATAATTGAAAAACAAACAAACAAAACCATTCCCAATCTGGGCAAATTGTGCAAACCAGCTCCCCAAATTCCATAACTGGCCCAGCCATTGCTGAGAATTGTGGTATTTGTAGTCCACATCTCTGAAAGTTGCAGGCAGGAGCTGGACGACCTGACTTCTGTGATAATTGCTGGATTGCTGGAAGATTTGGGATGATTTTCTCCAGTTTTCATTGGGTTACAAAATGTGCCTCTCTTTTACAAAAACAGTGTTTTCATCCACAGAGTGCAAAGGCTCTGGGTGCATCTGGAAATATATATATGAAATGTGTGTGTGTGTGTGTGTGTGTGTGTGTGTTTCTCTTTAGCCAGGTTTTTCCTATATAAACCAAGATTTTTATGCAGCCCTAGTTCAGTGAAATCACAATCCACTAGTTTCTAGGCTTTTTTCTGGCAGCCAGCAAACACTCTGCTGCCCATTGGGAGACTAAGGAGACTAAGACAGATCTATTTCGGACTTATAAGTCCTCATCAGTTAGCCACACCTTCATCCCATGTATCCTCCCTGTAAAGGTACAGTATTTGTTTTCTTTCCTTTTTGTAGGTTTTATGTGTATTTCTCTTTAGCCAGATTCTTCCTTCGTAAACCAAGATTTTTATGCAGCCCTAGTTCTCTTAGTCTCCCAATGGGCAGCAGAGTGTTTGCTGGCTGCCAGAAAAAAAAGCCTAGAAACTAGTGGATTGTGATTTCACTGAACTAGGGCTGCATAAAAATCTTGGTTTACGTAGGAAGAACCTGGCTAAAGAGAAATACACATAAAGCCTACGAAAAGGAAAGAAAACTCACACACACACACACACACACACACACACACACTCACATTGTTTTATATATATATATGTGTCTGGCTGAAGAGGTCTAAAAGGCCGAAATAGTGCTATCCCAGTCTCCCATAAGTCACAGAAGAAACAACATAAAATGTCTGACAGGTCTGAAAGTGATGAATAGAGATTTCATCCCACCATGGCCATTTTAACATCTTTCAACATAGGAAAAAACCCTGATTGCAAAAATATCGCACATTTATACCTATGAATCAAAAGAAATATATATATATGCATATTCTTTCTAGCCAGGTTTTACCTACGTAAACTAAGTTGTTTTGCAGCTCTGGTTGTGTGAAATCTCATTCATAAGCTTCAGGGCTTTTTTTCTGTTGACAAACTGCAACTCTGTGTTGCTCTCTGGAGTTGCAGTTTGTCAACAGAAAAAAAGCCCTGAAGCTTGTGAATGAGATTTCACACAACCAGAGCTGCAAAACAACTTAGTTTACGTAGGTAAAACCTGGCTAGAAAGAATATGCACATAAAAGCCTACGAAAAAGAAAAAGAACATATATATATATGTGTGTGTGTGTGTGTGTGTGTGTGTGTTCATCCAATTCCATGACATCAGCCCCGTAAACAAGAGGTAAGATAGCAATTTGCAAATTGCTATCTTACCTCTTGTTTACGGGGCTGATGTCATGGAATTGGCAGGTTGGATCCTGCTGTTTCTGTGATCTGAAAATAGATAACCGTGTGCCAATAAAGGAGAATATTTTGGGGGAAACTTGGTGCTCTCTGAGCTTTCTTGTTTCCTTGCAGACATTTTATTACCCTAACTATCTAACATCATCAGTGCCAATAAGGACTGCTGCAAGAAAACAACCAAGCTCAGAGAGCACCACGGACTCCTCATTTCAACCCTGAGCTCCTTTATTGAGAACAGTTGTAACTCAGAGTTGAAATGACAAGTCTTTGGTCCCCTCTGAGCTTGGTTGTTTTCCTGCAGATGTTTCATTACCCAAACTAGGACTTGCACTTGCACTGATGATGTTACCTAATCTGGGTAATGAAACATCTGCAAGAAAACAAACCAAGCTCAGAGAGGACCAAGGACCCCTCAAATAACTGTGTTGCCTGTCTTTCTACTTAACAAAACTGGCCTAGTCCGCAATCAGCATCTCTCAACATGCGTTTCAAAACAAAAATAGACCAGAAAGTGGGTGTGTGAGCTGTATAGGCACAGTAGTTAGAATTCAGTATTGCAGGCTAACTCACTACTCACTGCCAAGGGTTCGATCCTGACCGGTTCAAGGCTTGACTCATCCTTCCATCCTTCCGAAGTGAGTAAAATGAGGACCTAGATTGTTGGGGGCAATAGACTGATTCTGCAGCAATTGCAATAGCACTTAGACTTCTATATCGCTTCACACTGCTTTTTACAGCCCTCTCTAAGCGGTTTACAGAGTCAGCCTATTGCCCCCAACAATCTTGAGTCCTCATTTTACCCACCTCGGATGGATGGAAGGCTGAGTCAACCTTGAGCTGGTGAGAATCGAACTGCCGAACTGCTGGCAGCCAGCAAAATTAGCCTGCAGTACTGCATTCTAACCACTGCGCCACCATGGCTCAGCGTAAAACACTTAGAGTCTTAGGTGCTATTGGGGTGTCTGTATTGATGGAATATTTGCATCTTACGGAGGAGGTGTCAGGGTTTCAAGTAACAGCCCATATGAAATCAAAACTCAAAGGCAGGATTCCTCAAAGTTTGTTTATTTATTTATTTATTTATTTATTTATTTATTTATTTATTTATTTATTTATTTATTAAAATTTTTATACCGCCCCCTCTCCCAAAGGACTCGGGGCGGTATAGATTTATTAGGCATGTCATATTGGCACAGCTAGTGAAAACCCAAATCTGAAGTCCCTCGGGTTTCCCCCACCCAGTTCAAAATCCAAAGTTCTTCCCCACATAACACACAACCATCACATGCCCCAATCAGGTCTCTCTCTCC